AAACTTGACTTCATTATATTTTTAATATTAATTTAACTAAAAAGAGAATCAAATTTAAACAAAAACACATGAAATAAATTAGAACATGATATATAACAAAACATTTTTAATCATTGTTGTGTTAAAAATATTAATATTTAAATAATATATAAATGTAAATATATAATAAACAATTAATTTTGTTTTTATAAATTAAATATTGTCGTTTAATATTTGATTCGGAATAAATAACACCAAATTTATTCAAAATGATACATTGGTTTTTGTATAAAATAGTCACACCAAAAATGAATTATGAATAAATGTTTTTTCTTATATTATATATAATTATTTCAAAATCAATTATTATTAGTTTTGTTTAAAAAAAACATATAAAAAATTGCAAAATCAATGACTATTTCAATCCAAGAAGCTGTAACAATAATGAAAGTTGTTGGTGAAATACGTTTAAATTTGCTTCCAGATGAATTTATGTCTCAAATAATCGGTGATGAAATGTTTGATGAACGTATTAAAGATATCGTTGGAGATCAAAAATATTCTGTTTTGGCAGCAATGCAGTCAAACCCCAAAGCAACAATGGAATTAAAAACAAACTTAATTGTTGGTGGAACTGCAATACAGATATCGTTAATGTGGATCCTGTTGTTTATAATAAATTATTTCCCGAATCTCAATATTTATTACAACGACCAATTTTAACAGTAAATTCTGATTACATACCGAAAATAAATGAAAAACTTGATGAAATAATTCAAACATTAAATATAACAAATAACAACACATGTTTGATGCCTCTACTTGAAACAAATGAAATATATCTTAATCCGATAAAAATAAAAGAAGAAAATCTTCTTGTTTGTTTCAAAAACCACGTATACATTCCATTTTTAATACAACAGTTATTTCGAAAAAAGACATAATTCCTCCAGGTAAAGGAAAAATATCTCGATGTATCAAATCATTTAAAATGGGAAATTCATTAGTAACTCCAAAAATGGGACGTCCAAAAACACCCATTTTTATCAAAGAAAATATAATAAAAAGAACTAGACGCCAACCGAACGAATCTGGATCAACATGTGCAAAAAAACTTAAACGTTTTTGGCATCAAAAGATTTCTAAAACTGAAGTAAATCTTATTCGAAAAGCACATCATTTCAAATATACACAAAAAATTAAAGAACAATTTTTGTCTCATAAAAATATTCAAAATAGAAAATCATCCGTTGATGGTGTACTTGAAAGAATTATGAAAGAAAAAAATAATAATATAAACAAACTTAGACATAGACATTTACCAATTTTATTTTCAGATGAGTGTCGTTTCTGTTTCCAAAATGATGCCCGAAACAACAAAGTTTGATAGAAAGAGGATGTTTAAATAAAAAGTGTATACTTCATATGCCAAAACATACAACAAGTGCAATGGTATGAAGAGTTATCGGTGTTGGGTTTGAAAGTGAGTTGATTCATTTTGATAAAATGTTACATCACAATCTTACATCAATTTCATTAAAACCAGTGGAGCACTGATTGAATTGAAAAATATCGTAAAAGGTTTCTTTATATGCAAGATTGTGCCACTACTCACACCGCAAAAAATACCTGTTGTTTTTTCGAAAAAGAAAAAATAAAATTGTTAAAAAAAATTGGCCTGGAAATTCGCCTGACCTGAATCCCATAGAACAAATTTGGTCTATCATAAAGAGAAAAATTAATTTGACTATTGATGTGGGAAAATATGAAGTATTTGAAGAAGTGAAAAAAGTTTGGAATTCAATTTCACAAGCAACAGTTGATCGACTCGTTTTATCAAATGAATTTGCGCTTATTGTTATGCAAAAAGAAGAATTATCAATCAATTGCAAGAAAACTGTGGAAATGTCATAACTTGATACATTAATAACTTTTAAATAGTTTTTAATAACTTATAAAATTCGTTATAATTACACTTTTTATAATAACATATATATATATTAAAAAAATAATTATTAACAAAAAATATTTTTGTTATAAAACATTTTCATTTTAAAACTGTGTAGTTACAGAGTAGTTATTTGTGAAAACATTGAATGTTTTAATAGACGTTTTTGTGGGAATCATTAAAATATTTAAAATAAAAAACACATCAAAAATAAAATAAAAACAGAAATGTTCATAACATTTAGCAAATTTCCCATTAATTTTCGACGAAAATGATATATTATTTAAATAAACAATCGAAAAAATAAAAGAAAATAAGTCCGAAAGTCCGACACGTCGGACTTTGTGTCCGGAGTTTACTTAGTTTTTTTTAATTAATTTTTCATATTTTTTATAAAAATATTTTTTTATTATATATTACAGTTAATTTCACACCAATTACTTATTTTTCATAACAAATAGATTTGTACATTTGTCCAGCCCAGTTTCAAAACAATTATTTTTTTTGTTGCACAATTTGGGTGATTGTTTCATTATTGGCAGTATTGTTGTATAATAATATCAGATGTTTCAGAACTATTTATTTATCCTCAAAACAATATTTTATTGATCCAAAACAAAGAGTTGTTTCATAATTATTGTCTTTTTGTTTTAAAATAATACAGGATTATTGTATAATTGTTTTGTATTGTTTCAAAACGAAAATAAACAAAAATAACCAAAATAAATTTAAAAAAATAAACAGTAAAAACTACATATGTTTGTTTGACAAATAATGAAGTAATTCCATAAATAACAATTCGAATAATTATAATTGTAAAAAATTTTTAATTCCATAATTTTTAAAACAAGTTATTAAACTATTTGTAATAAATTATTCAAATATATTTTGTTTATATATTTTAAATAGATCAACCCTACACGAGGGAGACACCACAAATTGTGAGTAGTCGAAAGTAGCTATCGATGCCTCCGATAAGCGAGATCTCCCACTGGAAATTATACTAGTGGCTGGATAGGGTATGGTAAACTTTAAAGGCAATATACTAGGAAGAGTAAGTCGAGCCTTGTCATTTAGAGTTTTCGCTGTTCCAGCAAGTCCCAACTCTGTGTTTCCAAAGGCTTTGAAAAAAACGCTCTGAACTTAGAGAGTCCGATTGTTTCTCCATTCTATCTCAAAACAGATTTTTGCCATTTTGAATAGCACATGACCGCTATTTAATATTTGTTTGTATAAAACCTGGTAATACCAGGAGTAAAGATGTGGGTTATAAAAGATGACTCCTTGGCTCAAAATAGACTTTTTAAATGTTATAAGAGTAAAGCATAATTGATTTCTTCTTTTGTTTATATATTTTTAAAACAAAAATATTAATGGAAACTCAATCTCAAGTCATAATGTCTTGAATTTTGTCGCAAAAACAATATCAACTTTATGAATTTTGTGATAAATGAAATTGTCGCATCTATTAAGTTGTTAAATTATTAAATTTTAAAATACAAATATTCTAATTTTTAGGGTTACTATAATTTAATACAAAAAACTATAAATTTCAATGCTTTACTTATATAGTATTATTTTAATTATTAATATAGTTTATTATAATTTTCAAAATATTAGTTTTATTATTTAATTATTTATTATAATTATTATTAATAAGAATAAAACAAATAACAAATTACGAAATAACTAAATTATCTCATTTGCTCGATAAACTACTGTGTTTGATGGGAAACAATATTCACCAATTGATTTCACACTTAATGGTATCGTAATACTACTCAAACTATTGCATCCACGGAAACAACTTTTACCAATTGATGTAACACTTGATGGTAAAATAACATTGCTCAAACTACTACATCCATTGAAACAATAATCATTAATTGATGTAACACTTGATGGTATTGTAATACTAGTCAGACTATTGCATTCATTAAAACAATAAATACCAATTGATGTGACACTAGACGGTATGTTAACGCTGCTCAAATTACTACATCCAAAGAAACTATAATCATTAATTAATGTAACACTAGATTGTATTGTAACACTGCTTAAACTACTGCATCCACGGAAACAACCTTTACCAATTGATGTAACACTTGATGGTAAAATAACATTGCTCAAACTACTACATCTATTGAAACAATAATCATTAATTGATGTAACACTTGATGGTATTGTAACATTGCTTAAACTACTGCATTTATTGAAACAACTTTTACCAATTGATGTAACACTTAATGGTATCGTAATTCTATTTATATTATTGCATCCACTGAAACAGTCATCCCCAATTGATGTAACACTAGATGGTATGTTATTACCAAATTTCTCTCTATCATTTTTAGTGTAAGTAACATTTTTAAACTTGATGTTTCGACTAATGTTTCTGTCAACAGTTTCGAAATCAACATTGAACCACACAATGATTTGATAAAATTCTCTTTTTAAAACAACTTCATTTTCAATATCTTTATTTTCTTTTCTGTTGATCATAAATCCATTGCCAAAATTCTCATCTTCTACATCCCACAAGTGAAGTGTTTCGATGTTTGGGAAGTATCCAAGTGTATTGCAATTCAACGGAATCGGGTTGAAATGAAACTTCTCCATATTTCCACCAAATTTCTTGCACAACAACTCCAAGTTAATAAAGTCTTTGATAGTTTTGAAATACTTCGAAACTATCATGATGTGATAACCAGAAAGTTCACACATTTTGATATTTTCAGTTATTCGGTCTTTAAATATTTTCATTCTTCAAATAAATTTAAAATTCTTTTTGTAAACATTTTTAATAAATTATTGATTAAAGTTATTCAACATTACAAACCATAAAAATGGGAAAATGCGATTCTTAAATAATAAATTTAATATAAAGGGGTGGAAAAAACCGCTTCAGGAAAAAAACCGCTTTTGATAATTTTTGGTGAATAATGGTAAAATGTTTTCTAAATGTTATTTGATTTTTTTTATTTAAACAAAAAGAAAAAAAACATCATTTTCATTTTGCCTGAGCATTGTTTCGAAGTGTTTAGAAAAAGGCAGTTAAAGTCTATTTATATTACGGTTAATAGTTGAGTGATTACAGAATTTATTTGTAAGTAAACTGGATATTACCAACATAATAAAGATATTTAACCAAAAATACATTCGTTTTCAAATATAAAAATAAACATTAAGTATGATAATATTAATAAATAAATAAAACAAGAATGAATGTTGTTATCTTCGTTATCGGCTTCTTCGTTATCGTCCTTTCAAATTTATCACTTTAATATCATTTTCTTCATTGTGTTGCTGTCTAATATACAAACAAATATTGTTTAACTTCGCATTAAACGTTATATTTTGTAATTTACACTTTAAAAGTTCTCTTTTATACCCTTCTCCATTTTTTGATTATTAGAACTTTAAAAATTTATATTTTACAGATTTTTATTGCGATAAAACGCAATAATAATAAATAGAAATTTTAATTAAAAAAATAAAAAAAAAATAAAACCAAGTTATTTTTTTTCTTTTCCAGGTTTCTTTTCATTTGAAATTTTGTTCTTTTCATCCTTTTTGATTTTCATAAGTTTTTCAACACCGAGCATGTGCTCTCTATCAGTAAAATTTTCAATGGAGACTCTAACAGTTTGGGTTTCTTTTCTTTTTAGATCCTTACCAAGAAAAGAGCAAACTTCTCTGGCATAAGACATGTCAACCTTTGCAACACCTTTAAGAAAATCTACAGTGTTGAAGTTGGGGTTGACACATCTCATGTTTTCCAACTCTTCTTTAGATGGGTGTTGAACCACGTATATTATACCAGCTTGTTTGAAGGCGCTGGTCATCGTGTCGCCATCAGACACTACTTCCCATGAGTAAACAAGCTGCCTAATTTTGTCTTCCTCGAGAGCTTTGCAAATTTTTTCAATGCATTTTTGAACTCGGGTGAGTTCATTTTGAGAATTTTCCCGTTTCTTTGGACCTTTTCGTCACACTTTTCATTTTCTTTTTCACTTAATGAAATTTTGTGTAACATCATATTGTTTTTGTCCGCAAGGAAAGTTTTTTGTTTCCCGAAAATTCCCAGATCCATAGGCTGACATAAATGGGAACTGTGGGGGACTTCCTTTATCATTTCAACACAAATATCCCGAAATAATGCTGCAATTTCATCACTGAAATAGCCCAAAAAGCCGTCAATAATTAGATACGCCTTCGTATCAACTCTCACACCCATTCGGTTTCTTTTTTCCTTAATATTCGGGAAAAATACTTGTTTGAGCCACAAGGTGTATAATTCCGTATTTAGAACACCTGATTTTTGGTATCTAATAATAGCACGACTCTTGAGTTCCACAATTAGGTTGTCTTCGATGGTGAGTCTTTTGGTAACAACAAGGGGTATCATTTTTGTCCCATCTAGACAACCACAACACAAAAGACTCGTTCTAGAACCATCTCTGTCGACTTCGTTAAAAACTTGTTCCCCTGATTCGACTGACATCTAGACAACTTTGGTTCTTGAATCAACCCATTCATCGAATCCAACTTCATCCAAGTTAAAAACAAGCTCAAATCTGCATCCATCCAATTTTCTTTTTAATTACGAGTAATACTGCAGGATGGCAGTTTGTGATACCTCTGCTCGTTTTGTTTCCATAACTTGGGCCTTTTTTGTTTCAATTCCTGGGATTAATTTAATAACTTTATTTAATTGCCTTTTCCCATT